CACCTCTCCTTCCTATTTAAACCGGCTCTCGCCCTCCCTTTCTCCATATTCGCACTGGCTCTTTCCTCTTTCATTATGCCCCTTCTCTCTCTCTTTATCGTTCTTCTCCCTCTCTCTCTCTCACACACACGCACACGCACACATACACACTCTCGTTCGCTCTCTCTTTTTCTCTCAAATTGCGTCGACTTTCTCAGTCAGTGTGCTAATCGTTACTGTACCACAACATGCAATCAGTGTCACACTTGAGAGCCACACCATGAATCTTGTCTTGCTGACACCCGGCTATAATATATAAGTACTTGTCAACATTTAACGATTTTTAAAAGGAGGTGGAGTTCAGGCTAACATTTTAACAGTCGGCATACTAGCCTATGTTGGCAGGTCGGAACGATTTGTATTGCTGCTATGGGTAAAGTCGTTCAGAATACAGTCACCAAACACCCTGCACACACGTGACTACCACCATTACCGCCACCGTCAGCATTACCAGTAGAATGCCCTTCATTCCTCAGTACCAGTAATGAAAACGAAAAACCTACCGGCGCATCGTTTAAACAAAGGCGAACTCTTCTAAAGTCGGGTAACTCGGTTACTTTATTGCAATTAGGAACGGCAATTAGTGTTAAGGACAATTAAATGCGACGACACGCCTTACTATAGCGTGGATCGACAGTCCGCAGGGTAGCGGGCATGTAGTAACTGTTAACCGTTGACAGGAAAACCCGACAGTCGGCGCGCTCTGTTGACTTAAAATTCAGGCGCATTACCGTAAATCCGGTTTCAATCTCAGGTTACAGGCACTTCTCGTGTCATTTGCACTGATTGCGGAAATGTCCGAGAGGCTGGTGACTCGCTGCATGGTGAAATAGCGCACAACTATTACCGATATCCCCCTTCGTTTAGCGTGTCTCGCTAAACGGCCAATAAAGTTTACTGGTTGATTATTCGAATTATCTGGCCAGTGCACCTGTGGTTAGTAGTGGTAATTTTAGAGATATACTATAACTATAGCTAATAAACAAGCTGTTGCCGAAAACACAGCGCTAGCGTTTGCTGGTCCTTCACCCCGTATCTAAAATCGGCCTTTATTTTATTACGCTTGCACGCACGCGCTGACGTATGCACGCAAGCGACAGACGCACGCATCCACGCACGCATCCACGCACGTATGTACGCACGCATGCACACGCATTACCGCACGCACGCACGCGCATCCACCGCTCGCATGTACGCGCCCATCGCACGCACGCACGCACGCACGCACATACATTACATGCATGCATGCACACGCACACGCTACTAGGAAAAATAGTAGCGGAAGCGACGTAACAACGGCACTCTATGTGTACGCGGGGGCTGCGCGCGCGTGCGTGGGGTTACGATGAGCTAACCCCTGGGTTGATGGCCCACCCGACTAAAACTAACAAGCGCGAAATCATTACCTGCTACACTGCCGATCGCTCACCAGTGCGATAGAGTTCATGATTTCACTTATCGGTCCGTGGCAAGGGGCCGCAACACTGATAGACTGCGTATACACGCACGTATATATAGTACACGCACGTATATATATATACACACACGCACGTATAGTAGACACGCACTCGAGTCTTTCTTTACCCGTGTAGTGTGTCCCGTATAACGCGATATATTGCTGTTTGACGCGCGATTACTATGGGCAACTATAAAGCAGCAACACTATGGTGTGTAATCATGTACTGCGTCGCGTCAAGCACGTAGTAATAGAGAGAAAGTGTTGCTGGCATAGCCCTATTCGTCTGCTCTTGCTGTTTATGGGGGTTGACTCATATCAGTGATAGGCAATCAGTGATAGAGAATTCGACAAAACCCATGTGTAGAGGGCCACGCAGCTCCTGATCGTCAAGTTTGCCACAAACACACGTACTTGTCTCGTATTATTACAAAACATGGAATGGTTGATTGAATATAGAACATTGCATGTGCGATATGTTACACGGAATATAGGATGTAAAATATAGAAATGTAATGTAGAATGTGGACTGTAGAATATAGAATGTAGGATATAGAATATAGAATGTAGAATATAGAATGTAGGATATAGCCTGTAGAATATGGAATGTAGGATATAGAATGTAGATTATAGAACTTAGAATATGGCATATTGGATATAAAATGTAGAGCATAGCATGTAGGATATAGAGTGCCGCATATAGAAGACGCGAGGCGGTTTTGACATGCACTCTACGCTGCACACGACATCATCGCTTTCAGTAGCGGATTTCCGTAAGGCGGGGTGACGCGTACTACACAGACAGTGTGCGAGCGGCCTCGGTTCATCAGCCTCTCCCCCTCCTCCGCCTCGAGCCGTACCGCGGGTGATGGGCTTCTCTTCCTCGTCCTCCTCACTCACGCTAAGACGCCGCTAGACGAATGCGTCAATGATAGATGGCGTTACGGTCGCGCCCGCGGCTGGGGCGGTGCGGCGTGAGCATTAGCGGTGTGTGTTTTAATATGGTTTTACTCGCACAGCGCGTGACCGTAATCTTTAAGATGTCGGAGAAACAAAAAATTTAAAAAAACATAAATGTAAATAGCAATGAAGTTCGTTTGAATGAAGTACTTGATTGTACGTATTGTAGTCATCTGGGAAATCTTTGCCTCGGGCTCGCCCGCGCCAGTTACGATTTGCACGTTCACTGGATTGCGAAACCGCGACAGAGCTAATGTGTTTACGAGCGACGTGGGTTCAGACTTTATTTGGTTCTACGAGGTTCTAACTGCCTCGAACTAATCGAAGATTGCGTCATAGGTTCTTATAAGTCATCATTACGTAGTCATTTGAACCACGAGCGATTTACGGTTCGTAATGTAGAGAGTCATAGTTAATGGGTGACTATGAATCTCTAATGGCTGTATACCAAGCAATCCCTCTTGTGTCAACATGATGTAATGTATAAAATATAGATATTATATTATAAAAATTAAACAAATATTTATACATAATACTGTTGGCCTCTCAATTCCGCCCTACTGTGGTCGATAGGAACTCCTATGAGTCAGCCGTATTTCTTCATATCCGAATAAAGGTAAACGCGGCAACATGAAGTTAAGCACTTGTCACGAAATTATTCACACGGTTTTTCGATGTTTCTTGTCTCTAAAACATCCTTGATCGTGTTAATATACAAACATTCAGCATCGAAAGGAGCTTAGCTCAAGTTTACGTATACGATTTTATTTAGAGTGCGTAGCGGTTATAAGCCAAGGCTTATTATAATCCGGAATTTTCTGCAAACCGATGCGACTCAGGTTTCGAAGATGGCTGATTTGGTTGAGGTTTACTATTAACGCAATATCGCTGCTCGTGAAATTGCGAGCGGTCGATGACGATGACGGTGACGGTGACGATGACGATGACGGTGACTATGACAATGCAACTCTCTCATGCACGCCCACAACGCTCTGCATACGTTCAACGAACTATGAATGACAACGAGGCACCGATTACTAAGTTGAACAGCTTTCAACTTTCCACACATCCCCATAACCCCGAGAACCTGCCTATCCGGATTTTGTTTGAGCTGCGAATTTACGCCTCTTTCCACAATGACATAATATAGCTCTTATTAGGAAGTGCCAAGAGGCACAGTTGTATGTTTGTTCATAACAGTTTTCTCTGCGTGATCTACTCGTGTTTATGACTGCAGATGAGGTGTAGTGTAGTGTGGTATTACCAAAGCCCTTGAGGTTTTCAACCACCGTGCCAGGTTCACAGTGGCCAGGTTCCGTGGGCTGCAGTGGTAGGTCGAGTGTAGTGTAGTGACCCGAGAAGAAGAAGAATGACGGTGTAACATGTGTTTTACAGATGTTTACATAAAGTAGTAAGTGTAGCTAGATTTAGCTTAAATTAGCCTGGGTTGGATTAGGTGCAGTGTTTAGCCTGTCGGTTATAAATGGTAGGTTGTGTGTGCGATTTAGCGTGTTTTAGGTTAGGCAGATTCTCGTGTCATTGTGAAATAGGGGTGCAGATCGGGTTTTACATGGGTTATGGCGGGAGTTTAGGACAAAGAGCTAGGAAATTGTGTGTGATTGGTTAGGAAGAGTCTCAGTTTGGCTTGTTTGTGATTGGTGGAGAGTTTTGCATATAAATAGACATTTGGAAAGAGATCGGGAGTTGGTTGAAGGCTGGCATTCGAGTAGCGTGTACCATGTGAGACCTGTATTATTTGTAAACAATATATTCTTTTAGTGAACACATTTATACTTTTTCTTGATTATTTTACTCTAAATTATTTCATTTAAATGTTGGTGTAACTTCTACGTTACAACTGCATCAATTGGTAATTGGCAAAAACGTAAAATGTCCGTTACGCAGACAAATGGGAACTATCAAACAATATTATTGTTAGAGTTCCTTTATATATCTATCATTGCCAAACAGTTGTACTATACTTGCTGTTTCATTACTCGCTATATGTTCTAGGTAAGTTTGAGAACTTTTACCAAGCGCGACGCACACATCCGCTTTATTGTCCGGATAAAAAAATTCGAAAGACTCGAGTGTAATAGTTTAACCACTTGAAAAAAAACTTCCTGTTAGTTATCTATTGCAAGCATGTCAGTGAACTGTGCAAAAAAACTTACTACACGCACCCCTCCCCCTGCGCACAGCCCCACGAACTTCCACCAATTTCCCCAACACAGTAGTCACGCCGTAATAAGTACATAATATTGAGTAACACTTTGATACAAACTGTAATACTGAATATAAAGTATATATAGAATATACGCGTTTATAAAACATTGTTGAAAAGTTTGCTTAGGATTAAAATCCTTCGTAACTGCAAATATTAGCATCAGTATGACCTCATGCATTATGTATACCACCTCATATATAATGTATAATGAATAAGGTGTAACGTATAATGTATATTGCGTTCAGTATAATGCGTAATATATAATACATACGCAAGTAACGTGCAACGTGTAACGTAGATGTTTTATCCTCTATCCAGGCGTACCTGAGAAAGTTTGGTTACATCGAGGATGAGGAAAACTCGATCGTAATGGGCAGAGCAATTACGTAAGTATAGCTCGAGCGTTGGAGAACAGTGCTAGGGATGATCAGCGAGAGAGGGGGCGAGAGAGAGAGAGAAGAGGCGAGAGAGAGAGAGTGGGGCTAGAGAGAGAGAGAGAAAGAGAGAGAGAGAGAGAGAGAGAGAGAGAGAGAGAGAGAGAGAGAGAGAGAGAGAGTGGGGCGAAAGAGAAAG